ATCCTTTTTACTCCTCAATTTCAGCTAATTTTATTTTTTTTAAGATAGTCGGTCAGATTTCACATGCTTTTTCACAGAAAATGCAACATCTCCAGTGCCCTTGGAATTCTTTTTGTTCTCCCTGACAGATCAAAGACCTGAACATCAAGGTGCTGGACTTACGAGGGAAGTTCAAGAGGCCCAATTTGAGAAGAGTCAGGGTCTCTGCCGACGCCATCCTGCGCTCTCTGCTCGGCTCCAAACACAAAGTGTCRATGGATCTCAGAGCTAACCTCAAATCTGTCAAGAAGGAGGACACAGAGAAGGTGGGCTTTGGCAAAATGAGGGGAGTAAATGAACTTAGTGGGCCAATAATTACCTCACAGCTTGACTTTTGCAAGAGAAAACACCTGGAGACAAAACAAAGATGAAAATAAGTGTGAAGTTTATTATGCATGGATGCAGAATTCTTCAATGAGCACGACATCCTTAATAAGACTCCAATCATACAAACCTAATGTTATTTCTGCAGGAAAAGACGGTGGAGGTGAGTGATTGGAGGAAGAACGTCGAGGCCATGTCAGGCATGGAAGGCCGCAAAAAGATGTTCGACGCTGCCAAAGGCCAAGCCCAGTGAAAACAACGCAAACAGCTGGCTTTTAATTTGTTAAACACTTTCACCTTTAATCCACTGTGTTGAAAAACTTCCCAACATCTCGACTTTCACATTGAGTTTTTCTTTTTTCTACAAACKGTAGCTGATTGAAATAAACATAWTATGTTCTGTTTTCTTCTTTCTTGTTTTATTTTGAATAGAAACGTTCAATGACATCTGGGAATACTTCCTAACTTGCAAAGTTTAATGCAGAAAAACACATTTTTCTGACAACATAATCCACGTGTATAGTGTTGCAGTCCAACAAATTGCAAACTATAAAACTTTTGTTACTGATTTACTTTTTTATTCACATTTACTGAGTAAGTTGCATTCATTCTGCAAAAAACTTGTTTTAATTATGAAGATGTTTGAATTTTACTTCAGCCTTTTCTGTACAAAATAGGTTTATAGTATTACCTGATTAAAAGACAAATTTGAATTATGGCGTAAACGGCCTCTCATAGTTTAGATTATTCTTCCATGATCAGAATCCTGATAAGCWTATAAAATATATTGTTATCTTGGAATGTTTTGTTTGTCAAAAAAATATTTTGCAGCTCAGAGTGCAGCATTGGCGCCATACAGTCAAGGCAGGTCATCTCAGCCACAAGGTGGCAGCATTTACTAAAAAAAAGTACCCAGTTCATGGAAAAGCTCCAGGTTTCAACAAAATATTTTTGCTGCAGTTGGATGTCAGGGTTGTTTTTACAAAACTGCTTGTTGAAATCTGAAACTTCCCAATAACAACTTAAGAATTCCAAGAAAGTTAAATGATTTAAGATAAAGGGTTTTTTATTGTTTGTTTTTTGTTGACAAGTGRGTGTTAAAGGGTGTGTTCTTTACTAGGACTTTTTTTTTTCTCTGAAAGTCAACTTTGGTCATATATACAAGAAAGTGATCTCCCTCATTCTGCCTGACTGCCACAAACTAACATAAACTACAGTCATTAACTCAAAATGAAATAATCTCAGTGTTTGTTAAACGATTAAAGACTAAAGAAGACAAATCTGTCTTTCTCTGTAATTACAAACCTCTTCGTTTATGGATGAATGTGAATTGGGGATTTTATCTAAATGTTCTGATTCATTTCACATAAACAATACTTTCAAAAGCTTTCAACAAGTTAATGGCAAAAATATTTGGCTGCTAAAAATAAAAATAGAATCAATTATCTTCCCCTTAGATTCTCTTCCATCCAAATCTTAAAATCCAAACAGGAATCAACAACAGTTTGCTGAAATAAGACAAATCAACACAAACTGCGTTTAATAAACGAGAAAGTTCTGAAGGAATATGTTTAAAATCAAGACATTAATTTTTCATTTTATGCATTACAAAAATCAATGTTGAAACAAATGCAGATTTAGAAAAACAAAAAGCCAGTGATGGAAATATGATCTAATATTAACAAGAACATTTTAATATAAGAAACTTATAATGAAGAAGTAATAATTTTCTGCATTAACTGTTTTAGTGGCAAAAGGATGTCTGAGAGAAGATAAAAAAAAGTGACACACAAGCCTTCCACAGTTGAAAAAAAATTACAAAATTGGATGCATTTAAAAGAAAAAAATATATATATATAAAGGCAAAATAAGGGAGAAATTTAATGGAAAATACATTAAATCATTTTTGCATTAGATGACAGACARTAATAAAATACTCCATTACAACAAACACTACAGTTTCATCTAAAAGACTTGATTATTGACAAGATTTGAGCGTTGATTTCTTTTCTGATCTACAGTATATTGAACGTGCATATCGAAAATAAATAAATAAAACTAAATTAAATAAAATCCCAAAATAACTTTCTGTTAGTAAAATGTTAAGGTGCAGCGGGGAAACTCCCTGTCAAACAGCTCCACAAACAAATTTAGAATTTGGCTTCAGTTTACCAGGAGACATCTGAGTCACAATCCCAACTGTAGCATCCAACGCAGCCTTATAGCAAACTGCGGGACAATCGGAAGGCGTGGCGAGGTCATGACAAGTGCTGCCGGTAACATGTTATAGCCTGTGAGGGCAGAGATGAGGGATTATCAGGAAGCTGATGAAGATGAAGCCATAAAGGGTGTGGGTTTTTACTTTGCTTYGCTGGGAGCTATGGGTGGGGAAAAAAAGACAAAGACATTATAATGTGACACATAACTGCAAGTGCAGCTTTATGGAGTCATTTGTAACATATTTTTTGGCACAAATGGAACTCCACACTGCTTGAGAGTGAGGCCCTGATCAGCCAAATCACAACATGAAACTGTATTGTTTGTTACCTCAGAGGAGTTTTAGCCTCCTGATGAACATGTGCACACAGGAATCGGTTTACAGGGATTAAATCTAACATGCTGCATATGTCTGGCTGAGCTGAAAGACTGAAACCTTTTGGGAGCAATAATCCTGAGCTCCTMTGCCGAGGTTTCCAAGGGTAAAAATAGACAATGCAGATCCACGGAGAACGCATGTTTTCCTATTCCAGCCGATGCCAACTACCATCTGTTTGCAGGTATGTGGCCACCAGTTGTGGCTGCTTTGCTGCCATGTGATCCACTGCTGGGTTTAAAAGCTTATGAGAAGAGAAGCAGCACACAATTCCCCACTGACTGTCGTCTAAAAAGCACACATCAAAAAAAGACTAAGGTGAGTCGATGTGCTCCAGTTTGCTGTGTTTCCATCACCCCGGGCTGTTTTAAAAGCAGAATTCCAGAGTTTTCTGTCTGTGCAGGCGCTGCATCCTCAAACATGTCGGGCACGGAGGACGCCGCATACGAGTGAGTTGCTTTGATTTACTCCTGCAGAGGGAAGCTAATAAAAGTGACGGAATCCTTAACCACCATTTTTTCACTTTTCTCTTTTATTTCAGAGGGCAACGTAAGTCAGCTTCTCTTCTCAGCGAAGCCACACAGGAGACAGATAAGTCTTCACAGTTTGACACTGGAGGAAAGCTTACGGGTGCATGCGATGCTCCCAACAGAGGATCCAAAATGTGCAAAAAATAGTGCATGCATGTGGGGAACATGTTTCATTGCAGTTTTTGAATTAAAACTCAGCATTCCCTGTAGGAATCCTGTCACCTGCTGCAAGACTTTATGGAAAAATCCTAGAGTTATTGCTAATTTGGTCCAACCTTAAATGCAACACGTTGAGTTTGTTATATATTGGTCTCAGCTACTATCACCAGATTTAAGCACAGCTGCATAAATCACAGACATCTAGTAGTTTTTGATTTGCTGAGGCAGCCATCTTGAATTGACTTAATCAGTTGTAGGTGCACGATGGATATTYCCTTGCTGAGAGTTTATGAAGTTTAACCAAAAGTACCACTCAAACCCAAAGACTATGTGTTGGGCATGGGTCTCAGCTGCTAACACAATAAATTCAAGCTCAGTATCTGTAAAATTAACTGACTCGTAGCCATTTTTGTGTTTACGAAGGTTGCTTTGCTGTGGCAGCCATCTTGAATGTGATTGGCTCCAGTACTGAAACATATGTAGTTGTCAACACAGCGACTAGTTTCTGAAAGTTTTATTCAGATCTGTCCATTGGTGCATGAGATATTKTGTTAACAGACAAGGAAAAAAATTAACGCACTGTCTTTCAGCTAAGCTGCTGGTTTTACGATGTTGTCAGCATGTTGGTGCCACTGCAGAGGCAGCAGCTGCCTTTCTGCTTCTCTGCCAGTTTGACCTTCGGCCTCTCATCCACCTCTTCTTTGTCTGAAACCAGTTATTATCCCGACGGATCCGTCTGGCTATTTCTAAAGGCGCATTAGGTCACAGAACAACAGATCCAGAATCATGCCTCTAAATCTGTCCCCGGTTGCGAGGCGGTCCGTGTGGGAAAATGTCTGAAAAAGCTGGCCTGTCCCTGAAACCAAGCAGCACCTGTCTCCCTCCATGTGCAGCACAGTTGCTGTCAGTGAGTAATGTGGGTCAGAGAACGGTCTCAATAGAGGACCCTGGGGATGTAGTGACCCGAGCACAATGCCCACTTTCATTTTTTATGCCTGTTAGAGGTCCTCCTGAATGCAGGTTGGCTTACCTTCTTTGCAGTGGAACGAGGGTTGAGTTTCCATCTGTACCTGCAGCGAGTAAATGTCGACTTTTTTTTTCTTTCTCCCCCCCTCAATTAAAGACTTTGGGTAGATTGCAAAGAAATGTGGGAGAAAAAACTTTCAGATGAGTAATCTTGTGTGGAAAACCTTTCTCTCTCACGAGTTAGATGGAAAACATCCAGGTCCACGGCATTGTTTAAAAAACGAGTCACAGCTTTGGATGTCAACAACTGTTACCATACAAAAAATAAAATAAAATAAACAAATAAAACAGTTCCTGATTAATTAAGTCGCTCACTACACTGCAAAAAATGTTCACCTAACCAAGTTTTTAAATCTTATATCCAGCCAAAAAGTCTTTTTGATCTTGTTTTGAGACTGATTTAAAAGAACTGGTTGTGTAAGAATAATAATCTTGTTTTCAGAATGGGTAAGATTATCTGTCTTGTTAGCCTAAAAATTTGACTCAAATTAAGTCAAACATTTCTGCCAGTGGAGTAAGAAAATTTTACTTGGTAAGATTCTTGAAATACTTGATTTGACTGAATTTTTTTCTTATTTCAAGAATCTTACCAAGTAAAATTTTCTTACTCATTGGCAGAAATTTTTGACTTAATTTGAGTCAATTTTTTAGGCTAACAAGACAAATAATCTTACACATTCTGAAAACAAGATTATTTGGCCTCATGCAAGAACCGTTCGTACACACAGATTTGTTCTTAA